ACCACCAATTCTAAGTTTTGCGAAGGGGGGGGGGGGGGAAGGGATAGGGGTGACAAAGCATGTGGAAACATCACCAGGGCTTGCCTGAGTAACTATTCCCAAAGTGGAACTAACAAATTCACTGCCATTCATCATATCCGGAATCCACACAAAAGGACCCATCATGTACTACGTTCAGGGAGACATCTTTTTCAGTAGATTGCCAAATTAGGGGCCCATTTGGGGGGACCCCAAGCATTTGAAGCAGCATTAGGACAACCCCCTTAGAGCTACAGCAGCGGCCGCAGCAGCAGCGGCGGCGGCAAAAGCCGTAGCAGCAGTTTGGACTGCATAGAGAGCATATTTACAGCAAAATGTCTGAGGAAAAGTTCCTGAAAGTCCATCCCATGTTGATGGGCTCATGTGGGGCTAAGTTACATGGAATCTACATCTTGATTGCTCTGGCACCCTACATTCGTTGCATGACAGCAGAACGCGTCCAACATATAATCCGGTAAGAAGCATGCTCAGCGCGGCATGGCTTGTATACGGACCTCCAACGTTCGAAGGTGATTCATCCTCAGATTCTAGATGCAGTTGCAATGAAGGTTGAAACAGCGTTGCATCCGCCAAACCACAAGCCGATTGCCAGCACCGGCCCAAAATCGAACCATGACACAGTCTACCAATCAAACCATGACCTCCACAAGTATAGCTGCCTATCCCATGTCGAGACTACCACTTGACGTCTAGACCATTCCCTCCTTGCACTAGGCTTCTTTGAGGCACTCGCCTTTATTGCAACTCTCCTCTCAAATCTCTCGTATCATCAGCTATTTGGCTTTCTCATACAAGTAAATCCCCTCATGTGCTTGGAAACTGTGCTGGATTGTGCTTTATAGGCAAACGGCCCGGTGATCGTCACTTCATGTCACTTCTGAACCAAGGGTATAATCTGGACATTTCGGCCTTGCTTCTGCTGGAAGCTGGTATTCCATCCCTTCCGCCGGTAAGAAAAGTCGGCCCATATCGGCCCTAATGTCGAATTATCCTTGAAGAGTCAAGATGCAGGTAGGAAAAAATCCTCTCATCCAATGGCTGTGCAACTTCTCAAGGCCGCTACATGACTTTGGAGGATCCTTCTTTTGAATCAGGCCCCTGGGCTCCGGCAAGGGTCCAGGTTTGGGGTGCTCAACTCGTCCCTTTATGTCTGTGTTGGAAGGGTCTTGAAGAGGCAACTGGGTTGAGGATCAAGTTGAAGAGTTTTGCCATTGCATGCTGGAGGGGTGAAGGCTCAAAAGTCATTTTTCAGTCACAAGCACCCTTCAATCACAGGCTTTGAAGCCTGAACCATCTGATGTTGCTGTTGGGTGGCAGGTGCCTTTGCAGTGGCCGCAAGAAAGTCGGACAACCGAACACGTCTCGCCCCTTGCCTTTGCGGCTGGCCTTCGCAGAGTTTGATAGTTCAGAGAAGTGCCTAGGGCCTAAGTTACTTGGCAGCAAGTTTTCTCAAAAGTGCGGGCTCCTTTCCTGGCTGCTAACTCTTCACGCAGCACAGCCGTTGGATCTCTTCATCGTTTTCTAGAATGTGAGTTTCAGGCAGATGATCGTTCGAGAAAGCTGCGCCTTCACAAGCAGATAATGCTCTGCATTGGCATCGAAGCCTTGTATCTCGGCCACAGCCACCTGCAAGCCCACAGCAAAGCGATGCAAAGCGCATTCCCACAGCGTGTTCCGGAATCGGGTTGGAGGAAACTGCTCTGCCCCATGGTAGTTTCCAACAGGTTCAGTGATTCAAGGGCCTGACGGGCGAACCAAACATGGGTGTGCCCTAAGGTACACCACAGAGGTACCTACCTTTGTACACTCACAAATGCAAGGCGCGCCTCCAGTGGTAGTTCAGATGGATAATTCTTCAGGAACTTTCCGTGAAAGATGCCTGTCTCAAGCGAGGCTTGACACAAACGCCAAAGCCCTGAACTTGGCCGTACAGCGGTCATCTTTGCTGCACTCCGTTGCAAGGAGTTCGGGGTCGCGCTTACCCTGTACAGGTGGGTGCTGTCCATGCAGTATGCGCTTGGGTCCTGGACCCAGGATTCAAAAAGCATTATGCAGAGGTGACTGGGATTCAACAGTGTCCAAGAAGTTACTTGCTCGCCAGGAGGTGGCTTGGGTGTGAGCCATTGCGCAAGGCATTCATGTCACTGGAACTCTTCTTTCGGGCGCTCTACTTTGGGCAGGCCCCTTGGCTTAAGTTCCAAGAGACCACACGAACGTTGGGACAACACAAGTGGGCTTCAGGCAGTCTTCCAAGGATTCAGGGTAGTTTTTGGCTGTTGTGTACTTGTACTGTTGTGTACTGGTACTGGAGATTATTACGATCACACCCCGTTAAGGATCTCTTTAACCCCTTGCAATCCTTCGGGCCCTTGCACGCTATTGTATTCTAGCTTTGAAACTTCAACTTACTGAAATAGATCCTGCACTGCCCTGGGCTAGTAAGACAAGAACTTGTTCATCGACAATGGGACGCTGCAGTCCATTTGATCGAAATCAAGGCCCACCTTTTCAACCTCAAAAAAAAACAGTGCATGATTTTAGAGCGAGAGAGAGAGAGAGAGAGAGAGAGGGGGGGAGAAAAAAACGAGAAACAGCCAGACAGAAAGACAGAGACACTGCCTTCTGAAAAAGCATATCCAATACGATTCCACCTACGTAGATTTGACCCCAAACCCATTACATCCCCGCAGAGTCCCAGGCCTCGTGCGTAGTTCTTAAAGCAGGGGCCTACATACTCCCAAACTGGTAGGACCCTGATTCTACGGACCCCTGACAGTGGACACATTCTGTTGAGCAACCCTAAACCCATCCGAAACTAACCAGGCTGCGGTAGAACTGATGTGCAGACTCCACGGTCGTCAGGTTGACAAAGGCAAAGCCACGACTGGATCGACTTCGCGGGTCCATGGGAAGGTAAATGAAATCCTGCAGGCAGGCGCTAGGTTGAAGGAGTTTAGAACTTCAAAGCGTTGTGGGAACTGACTTTGACAGGGTCCAAGTCGGAACCAGCAACTGCCTACGAGTTGGGAGCTCCAACTTATGAGAGCCTCACAGAATGGATAAGGAATCTGCGGAGTATGAGCTCTGTAGGGAGTGGTCTTAGCTTCAAGTTTGCAAACAGGAGAATGTGGGCAAGCCTCACACCTCCGAAGTGCGTACGCTGTGCATATCCCTTTCCTTAGCGGTAGCGGTTCGACGCCTTTCAAGGCTGCGTCCTGGTCAGTGCAGGAAGCCTTTAACTGGAATAGGACTTTGAAAAACAAGCCGCAGCAGCATGCGAAGCCAGAAAAGGAGCGATGTGACGAGTTCCTCAGCCCTTCCATTGAGGCATTCAGCATGGGCGTACGTAGTTCAGATCTTTTGTGGACAATGATTAGGTAGCTCTTTGTCTGCCTCTGCCCACCCAGCCCTTAAGCCGCCAAGTCGGGTGAGTTGGTCATCATCACAACTCCTTGCGTAAGTGCTCGCCTGCGTCTTAGATGCAGCCCCACATCGTCTGTAAGTTAGTTCCCCAAGATATGTCTTGCAAAACGATTGCAATATGATTTGATGGGGGAGTCCTGCCTGCCCAGAGATTGAGATGACCTTCGAAATTAGGGCGCCAACACCCCCTGAAGACATGAAGTGATCTGAGAGCCGGTCCAGTTTGCCCTGAAAGCCGGCACCAAGGAATTGGCGAAGCAGGCGACGTTGGCCACATTTCACAGGCACGTTTTTGACCATAACCTCAGTGCCATGCTGTGACCTGTGGCTGACCAGTACCGGATCCTGTGTATCCGCACCCCTCACACCTCTACATGTCCAGAAGGTCTAGAAGAACGGTCTTACACCCGGCGGGGGGGGTATGCGCCAAAACTGGCTCTCAAAATGCCACGCCAGGTACTGGACTCCTTAATGTGGTGGCCCCAATTAGGAACATGACTGCGGCGCACCCTCAAGTGTGCGACCACACATGATAGCGAAAGCTCTCACCAGAATTCTCGGTTCACATCTGCACCAGCGACTGTCAGCCCTACGCACGCTAACACTACGGTTCAATAGTTACCCTCCACCTCCTCATCCAAACACATTGCGGGGAACTACAAAGGTTAGACAACCATCCGAAGTCCGATTTGTATTAAAAATGGCCTCGGGACTCCGCTTGCCTCAAATCATGTTCTTCCGCAGTCATATTATGGCCCATAATTCAATCCAAGCAGCAGTAGTGATCTCTCCAAGAGGACACACTGTTTCCTGGTCACGCTGCTACATAGACGAGCAGACAAGCATGCAGCCCATGATGACAAAAATCTAATAACCTTCACCTGTCCGGAAAATCGCCCAAACCAACAAAGCGAGTCGCGGATTTGTAAGAAGCAACTGGCCACCCGACACAAACACAATCAAGAACAAAGACTTGCTGCTGCTGTCAGCTCCCGCGATTAGACTGCACCCAATTGGTTGGTGTTCAGTGTCAAAGCCAAGGCCACACACACTCTGAAGAATCTCACAAATTTTAATCATGTCAGCGCAAGGCAAGTATGATGGATCCATTCTGCACTGAAGTCTTGTAATTGAGAAAGCTGAAATGACAGCTGAAGTACTTCGTGGTTTCGGCTTTACTTCCTCGTGCCTAAAGGTGGAGTGGAGAGGGAATATAGGTACTGTTATCGGGGATGATATGGGGATTTGTCAATGGAATCTAATCCCCCACTGTACCTTAAACACCAGTGACGTTATGAGTCTTAGCGTCAGGGCCTCGGGTTAATCAGACAAGTGCAAAAAAGATGCAAGCAAGGTAAGCCATAAATCTATGAATCTGTGGCCCCTCCCGGTGGGCACCCATACATCCACTCACCAGTATTTCTGGGAATGCTAGATGCACTCAAGATCATAAGTTTACAAAACTTGCCTCAAGAACATTAGGATGAACTCATCGATTCAAGTGCAACTACCAGCTCACCCAGTGGCCTGGCTCGCGGCATCTTCACCGGCCTAGCTACATCGCTTTTGCTGAGGAGTCTTGGGGCGTCGGGTTACTGGAAAGTTTGCATGTGCGATCGCGGATGTTCAATCCCTGCATGCCACGAGTCTGATTTCTTGACTGGAGATCACACATGTTCTCTGTACAGGTTTTGCCAGGTCATTGGAACCATGGGACTATGAGGTCGCCAGACAATCAAGGAATCACAAACACGCGGCGCACCGGCCTCTACTACGGGAAATCCTCCAAAGTCGCTGGAAGATCCAGCGCTGGTGGTACTGGATCTTGGCACCTCTGAGCCATTGAACCTTCAGCATCACAGGGGCATTCGGTCATACAGAGGCATGTACCATGTGCCACTGTACACGCAGCGCAGCTGTACCAGGGACAGACGAGGCCTCTTGCATTTTACCAAGGGGTGTGTACTAACAAATCCTGGCCGGTCGCCCAAGGCTGGCATGCTGAGTCTTGCTGATGCCCTCTTGATCAGCCACGGAGGACTTCTGCCAGTATCGTACTTCGTCAAACCCCCTGAACCCTGAGCTTCTGATCTGCTGTCATGGCACTGCCGCAAGGCGGCGGAGAGGGCATTCGAAAATTGCGAATTCGACGGATCGGTTGACTCGTACAACGTGGCATCCTCCGGGAGCAGGTTGGGGTTGAGGGTTGAGGCCTGTAGGGCATGGGACCTGGAGCTCAGGATCTCGGATTCATGTTTGAGGGTTTGGGATGTTGCCACTTCATGTCTCCGTGTGTCCTACATGAAATGCGCTTCTCACGTGGCAGGGCATGGGCCTCTTCCGCAGTCGTCAGGTGGTCAGCTGAGCTCTGAGTACCGCCTTACTGATGGCAAGGCACTCTTCATCAGGATATGGAAATTGTGAGTGATACACGCATGAGGCACTGCACTTTCGTTCTGAGCAATGCACATAACTCCTTTCCTTTGCAAGTCCTACAGCCCTTCGTCAGAGTTTGCTGGTTATGGTTTGCTGGGTGGCAGGATAAAATGGGGACTGGTACCATCATGTTGGTGCCCAGCGACTTTGATTTAGGGATCCCCCATGTTGAGCTAAACAGACAGGAAGTGATACCCAAAACATATCCATCTAGTCTTCAAAGCGACGTGTGCAAACCGTGCCCATGGGATGCATTGGGATGCAAATCAATGCAGCAGAAGGGCATGACGAATGAGCATCGCTGCACTCCATGGCTGGCACAACAACTTAGGCCTGATAGGTACCCTGAGACTGTCAAGCAGGGGTCCAAAACGCAAAACCGGCCAGCAACAACTGCCTCAGCATGTACACGTAAGGTGATTGTGCTGTGAAATTTGGCAGATAAGAAATGGTCCAGTCCACGGTACCTACTCACAGGTTTTGTATGACGCTTTCGGTTTCACCGAAAGCTGGCGGTCGAAGGTGAGAAACTAGCACTTTTGCTACTGGAAGCTCGACCGCTTGCAGCCAAAGAATGTGTCTGGAGTAGGCTACGGCTAATGGACCTGGAATTCAACTCTGCCCTTGTATGAGCCCAACTTTGGGGTATGCCATGCCCCGACCAAGGAATGGACTTGGGATGATATGGGCTTAAACTACTTGCTCTTGATGTTGGGAAGCTCCAATGAAGATCTTGCAAGAGATAGATTACTTCGAATCCTGCGTCTTCCGTATACGAGCTACTTCCCCGATTGAAGAATGACTCACCTGCCAACTATGGTTATGAGTAGAAACTGGCATGTACTTTCATCTATACGTGGCGACTACAAACGAGTGATACGCGTAAAGGTTCAGGCTACCATACTTTATAATGTCTATATGCCTTGAACTGTTGCCTGCTGCACGGTTCTGGAGGGCAGGTTACTGCTGAGGCTATGTTATGTAGGCACGCTGAAGGTATCGCGCTGCAAGCGGTGAAATGCCGCGCCGCGTTCAGAGGTCCTTAGCACAGATGTCTTCAGGATTGGATCTTGTGCTGACTTTCAGGTGCAGTTCACTCCCATGTGTCCCAAGCTATAGCTGCAAAAGCTGCCAACAAACAAACCTGACCATTGCACACTTTGAGCTCCAACATCCAGAAAGCAGGTAAAAACTAAACTGGCATGCACAGGACGAAGAAACCACCGTCAGCTGAGGCCCGGGCGTGTACGGCCACTAGGGCTTAGAGCCACTACACGTGTCTCCGTGTCTGGTACTTTGAGCCCAGATCTGCCATCGGAGTTGACTTGGGGCTCTCAAACGATCACGTCTCCACATATTTTATTTGGGGATATTCTGGTACTCAATATAGGGTTTAGGGCTCTATAATGGAGAATCAAATGGAAAAGAAAATTCAAATGGAAAAGAAAATGGAAAATGAAATGGAAGCTGGGATTAAATACACCGTTTGCGAGCAAGAGAAGGTACAGACAACTTGCAGACATCATAGGGCCATTTCTCAATCGTCACAAGTCCGCATACATGACCACCACTATCCTGGGAATCTGATCATACAGTGGCCCCAGAAAGGACCAAGGGAATGTTGGAATCAATTACTCGGGATTTGCCACAATTGATTAAATGTAGGTACTCCTGTTCCCGATGCCTGCGATAATATCACCAGCATCACTGTGAACACGTTGTAATGGGACGATTCACGAATCCCCTACCACTACTCCCCCCGCTAATAAATACTCGCCGTAGTGTGTAATGGTACCATATTGGGGGAACATTTTTCAGAGGGAGGGGAATATTCGCATATTTGAACCTTTTCAAAGCTCGGATCTTCCCCTGAGGCCTTCACAGATCCCTCTGGAATCTTGCTAGACCTAAAGCCTAAACCTGAACTTGTTTGACTCCATACCTTGCTTCTAGACTTATGCCATAATTCGCCCCAGAACACTGTCATAGTTGTCCAGCCGGATGCTAGACGTACCACCAACCAGGAAACCCGTGCTGGTGTCGCTGGCATCCAGGGCTGCGAACGTTCTGCGCGGCGGCTGGCAGCTTCGCGCTCGTACAAGGAAGCCTGGCCGAACAACAGAACCTGAGACTGCAGGAGAAAAATGGTATGACTCGGTATGACGTTCTAAGTGAAAGCAATCAGTCTTGGGTAGACAAATGCTATGGGCCTGCCTGGGTGCGGTTACGGCACCTAGTCCTATAGTCTGCCAGCATTAAAATCGGGACCCAAATTTTGGAGACTGCACGTAGTACTCCAGTTGCAAACGATGCTACAGAGCACTTTTTGATTTGCAAAACATGTGCCACAAGAATTGCTGGGAAGCACTGACTTTTCCAAGTTCCCCCAAATCATGGGCCTAGTTTGGGATCCTGAAAAGCTGGACTAACAGGGATCAGAGCATAATCGACGTTGAGGGCTCTAAGACTCCAACCAGAACAGTATCGATTTCATTCACGCGTATTTTCCAGAAACATAAGTCCCACTTCCCGAACTGCGTACCCGAAAGCACTTTCTACAGCTGAATGGCGACTGCCACAGAAGGACCTCCAGTTGACTGTTGTTTTTGGAAACCTCCCAAGCGGTCAAAGTTCTACGACATGTGCGCGCCTCTTCCGTGGCTGCTCGAACCTCCAGATCGAATTTGTTCTAATAGGTGTCTCTGGAACCCTGACATCCCCAACTGCGGATTTTGCTGTACTTTGAGTATATGGGCCATGATGGGTCATGGACGACAAGTCGCTAGACCGTCGAAAATTCAACTGCAAAAGCTATGAAAAGCGGCACACACTATTGGTCTCGCCCGGTGCTAGGCACGCACTGATGC